CTGCTGAGGTTACTCTGGTGGCAAGTGAGTCGACATTTTTCGGAGTTAAGTTATTTGGAAATTTTGTCGCTTTAAGTAAAAAAGTGACAGCCGACGACCCCACTGCGTTGAGTAGTTGACACACTTTATTCAGTGGAAAGCAAGCCTTTTGGGTGAAAATGAGAGACAGAGATGGTATGAAGATATATTATAGGCATCTGCTGATTCATAACGGAGAAAAATAATAAAGCGATGAAGGTGAATAAATAAAAATAATATTTGTATTAGTTTTATGCGAGAAAATAGATACTCACAAATATTGACTCACATTGTAAAAACTATCTCGCATTAAAAACTGAAAAAGTTTCGCCTTATTTTCATATTTCGCCTATAATAAGCTGAAGATGGGAAGGGGTGCTTGCAAGTAGGCTCTGGCATATACTAAGAAAACCTTTGAACGAAGCATCTGAAAAGCTCAAATTTTTTAGCCTAGCCAGGCCAACTTTCAAAGCAAGTTTAATATAAAAATTTTCTTAAATGTTTTCGAAAATTGCTTTCCTCATTTTTCATGGTTAGAAAAGACGAAGGAGACAGTAATGAAAAAGACCTCCTACTGGAGGTACTCTATGTCATGAAGCAGGAGCCTGAAAAATATTTTTGCTTCAAATTGCCGCCAACATCTAGGAATGACTGGACTGGCATGTTTTGGACTCAGCCAAAGCAGATAAATAGACGATCAGATCTAGGGCCCGGACGCTGTCACATTATGCATGGAAAAAATTTTTAAAATAATTTTTGTATTCTTGTGGAACCCTTTTGATTTGGTGTAGGTAGGGATGTCTGACGACGCACCTTGGTCACTCCTCACTTTACTATGTGCTCTCTGAATCAATCTGTGATGAAGTTTATCAATACAAAAAGTTTTATAGGTGCAACTTCTGGCACATCCTCAAAAAACCCTCGACCGGAGGTTGCGTTTCTTTCTATTCATGCCACGTTTGTCTTTTTGAGCAAGTCAGGGAATGTCTCAGCCGAGACTCAGCTGTATCTATAACATGTTTGTCGATTAAATATCAACAAACAGCCAGAGGTATAAATATTCTTTATTTATCGGAGTCTAATTGTATCTTGATACTTATCCCTGTGTCCCTGTCCACCTCACCCATATCCCACTCTTCTCTGGAAGGCAAGGCAATATTGGATACCGAATTTAAGTTTAATTGTTTAGGATTTCGAAACTCCGTGGTATTGGGAAGAATCGGGAACTTGCTAAGTATCTTAGATTTTCCTTTAGAATACGCATATTGCGAAACTGACCGTTTTCTAGGGTTAATTTGCTTCTAATGTGTATTTGTATTGATCTTTCTAACATTTTTATGTTTTAAATGAAGGAGAAAATACTAATTGTTCTGGTTTGATGTAGAAGCAAAAGAAAGTTTAGGTGATTTTAAGGTTTTGTCATATTAGTGCAAGAAAAGATGACACGTGGACAAAGAATATTTAGGAAAAGCTATAATAGTTGCGAAAATTTGACTTGTTTGAAAACTTTCATGCTAGGTTCTATATTTCATGTACTCATAGGGATATTTTAAAGATTTTTAGAGCAAACTTTATAAACTGGATAAAAGAGTGAGCAATAAATGAATTAAACAGTTCTAGCCGGATGGAATTTAACTAACTTTATTTTTAATTCAGTTTCCTTATTCCCTATTTAGTTTATATTCCAGTATTGTTTCCGAAACAGTCAAAAATTTCTGAAACATTCTGGCTATATCCTCTATCCCAGCAGCATGAATCCTAGAATGTTCAACGTCTTGAGTCAAAGCATTCTGTACAGCAGAAAACTTAAACAACTTCTGTCAGTCTGTATATTACGAAAACTCTAAAACGTCATGTCACAACCTCTGCGAATAACTGTAAAAAGTTATTGTAAATGTAGTGAAAGCACAAAGCTAATCATATTCAGAGAATACTTACATGTCTGGCTAAAAAGTTGAATTGAACCCACACGTTCTAGAGGTCCACCTAACCTTCAGATATGAGTATAAACTACACTGTGGCGGTACAATTGGTTCATGAGATGCAAAGTTTAGAGTGATCTTGAGTCAGAAAAATCATCGATCTTGAGCCAGGAGAACCCCACCAATATTATATAGCGTTAGAGGAGCTTTTAGAGAACAAATTTATTGATCCAATCAATTGAGATCCCAGAGGCCAGTTATTTTTTATCAGAATAATGCGCCTTAATTAAGTCGCAAAAATAAAAAAAAATTATAATTTTGGCCTCTACTCATACCTTGCTGAAACAAATTTAGTTACTATTAAGGGTTAGTTATTAAGGAACAGCTTTATTGTAAAGCATAATAAACAAGTAAGGAAGGGCTAAGTTCGGATGTAACCGAACATTTTATACTCTCGCAAAGTCAAATGGTATACTCGTTTGAGATTTCTTTGTGGATTGACTGATATTTTCGGTAGAAGGTCAACTATAGGCACTGGGGTCCACATATTTAGTACTTAGGGGTTTGAACAGTTTTGGTTCGACTTAGACAATTTTTGGCCACAAGGTGGCATACTTTAATCGCATTATTCACGCAAAGTTTTACCCCGATATAATCATTGTTGCTTGATATGCATAGTGGAAAGTGAAAGAATCAGATGGAATTTAAAATGGTGTTATATGGGAAGTAGGCGTGGTTGTAGTCCGATTGCGCCCATTTTCGCACTATGACATAGAAACATGAAAAGAACGTTGTGCACCGAATTTGGTTGAAATCGGTTGAGCAGATCTCAAGATATGGGTTTTCACCTAAAAGTGGGCTGTGCCACGCCCACTGACTAATTTTGAACTCAGTTCCTATAAAGCCAATTTATACCATCTCAGAGATAAGATTTAATGTCTCTGGCCGGTTTAGTGCTTGATTTATCGCGCTTTTAGTAGTTTTTAACAGTACCGTTATATGGGGAGTGGGCGGAGTTGCCACCTGATTTCAACTATTTTCACACCGTCAATAGAAGTGCTGAAAACATTTGCTTCTAGTGAATTTTGTTATTATAGCATTAGCGGTTTAGGAGATATGCACATTAAACCTATTAGAGGCGGGACCACGCCCACTTTTAAAAAAAAAGTTTTAACTGCAGATGCCCCTCCATAATGTGATCCTGTGTACCAAATAACAGTCTTGTATCTTATTTCGGAGCATAGTTATGGCAAGTTATTTGTTTTTGATTAATGGCGTTTTGTGGGCGTGGCAGTGGTCCGATTACGCCCATCTGCAATACCAACCGTCTCACGGCACCAAGAAACATGTCTACCAAGTTTCATAAAGATATCTCAATTTTTACTCAAGTTAGAGCTTGCACGGACGGACGGACGGACAGACAGTCACCCGGATTTCAACTCGTCTCTTCATCCTGATCATTTATATATATATAACCCTATATCTAACTCGATTAGTTTTAGGTGATACAAACAACCGTTAGGTGAACAAAACTATTATACTCTGTAGCAACAGGTTGCGAGAGTATAAAAATATTACATTAATCGTAACAAACAGTTGGAATATACATATATAGCATAAAGTTCATATATTGTTATCGATTTCACGACGTTGAATAATAAAATTTAGCTATACTCTGAACAGGGTATATTAATTTGTTTCATACTTTTAATACCCAAAAGGAAACGTCGGAGACCCTATAAAGTATGTTTATAAATTATCAGCGTAACGAGTTGAGTCAATTTGGCCATGTCCTCTGACAAGTTTTCCTCACAATTTGGCATGGATTATTATTCAAAGAATCTCTACAATATCCGAACATATTGTTTAGATCGGACTACTTTAGTAGTAGCAGCTGACATTCAAACTGACCGATAAGATAAAGATCAAGATCTTTTTATACCCTGAAAAGGGTATATTAAGTTCACACCCAGAACGAAACGTCGGAGACCCTATAAAATATATACATAAATGATCGGCATGAAGAGCTGAGTTGATTTAGCCATGTCCTGTATATATGTATACAAAATAGGCCCTCAGTTTTTAAGCTATCGATCTGAAATTTCGCACTTGTCCTTTTCTCACTAAGAAGTTGCTCATTTGTGGAAACGGCCAATATCGGACCACTATATCATATAGCTACCATACAAACTTAACAATCGGAATCAAGTGTTTGTATGGGAAACTTTTTCATTTAAAGAGGTATCTTCATGAAATTTGGCATGTATTATTATTTAAGGCAATATTGTGATCTCCGCAGATATTGCATAGATCGGATGACTATAGCATATAGCTGTCATATTAACTGAACGATCGGAGTAAAGTGGTTGCGCGGAGTCTGTGAAGGGTATTATAGCTTCGGTGCTGTCGAAGTTAACGTTTTATCTTTTCTTTGTAATGCTTTCAGCACAAATGAACATATCGTTACACCAAATAAACTTTATTTTCCCAAAATTTTCATTCTTACAAGGTTGAAGCGCACATTGTTAGATGCAGTACATATGTATGTATGTTATGGGTACATTCGAAAGTAATTAAATAGCATTATATACATTTTTCTAATTTTGGGTCATGTCTCTAAATATTAGCCAAAATGTTGCTTCCTTCATATTTCATTTATAGCTGTTACTCGTAGAAAATTTTTAATGACACCAAAGCAAACTTAAGTGTCGCCAGGGCTTGCACTTCGGCGTGCACAATTCTTCAAAACTACACTGCGGCATTTTGGGTGGACCTTTGGTGCTCCACGTATACTATTTACTATTTACTTTGAGTATTTTTACGATCGTCGAAATTAGCTGCCCGCTGACAATCTAACAATACATAGCGCACAATATTATATACATACACACATATTGTCATATTTTACAACTTTGCCAACTAAGTTTTACGAACTATTGCATTATCTACTACGACTATATTTCGAAGACAACACATACACACACACACACGTACAAATACAAAACTGCAGTAAAATTTTATTTATTTACATCGCTTCTCTTTCGCTTCTTCTATTTGCAGGCAAACACACGCGGGTGCAGGGCGCGCAGAAAATCGACGAAAATGGTAATTAAATGTAGAATAAGACGAAAAAGAACTGTAAATTTCTTTTTTCTTTTCATTAAGTAATAGCACATAGAGGAATGTCCACAAATGCAAGCATACTTTAAAATACTTACAGACCTCTCCGACGATACCTACGAGGTTCTGGTGTAGAAGGGCTTGCAAAGATACTGTTTGCTATAGACAAATATACTGCAATGCAAGGAATGAGCAAATCTTTAATTCTATTTGTCAGAGCAAAAGTAGCAGAATTGAGGGAGAACAAGTTGGCAAGGGACACAGTAGACAAAATAATGAAAAAAATTTAGCAAAGAAAACGAAATAAGCAAAAAGGAAGGTTTGAGATATTTTGCAGCGACTAGGATTTATGCGGGTTATGCAGCCCTAGAATGGGTGGGTAGGCTACATCGAGTATAAAGTGCTCCCACACTGGATATTTTCCGCTTTAATTGAAAATGCGCGTGTAATTGCAACTTTGTCGCATTAAATGTTGTGCAACAAAAGTTTACCAGTGCAATATTGTAATCGTAAAATCAGCAAGTTGACAAACATTTCTCTGCAATTACTGCTCTTAGGAAAGTTGCGTCTTTTGTCTGCTACAGTTGTGGGCTAGAGCGGTGTAAGTGCGGGGCGAACGGTTTTATGCAACAAAGTTTTGCTCGTAGCGGATTGTTGCAAATGATTGATGGCGAGTGGTTTGCAAATAAAGATAAAGCACATCAAATTGACATTTATGAATTTTTCCTTTAAAGGGTGAAGCGAAGTCTCCCGTTAGTGCTACACTCGTAAGGTCTTAACTTTTTTTTTTTAATTTTTAAAAAAGATAGGTTAAATTACAACTCTGACTGGTGACTAAAAATATGTTATTCAATATGTATATTTGCTTTTGCAGATCCCACTGCGCCTGGCTTTCCGGAACCCATCAACAACGTGACAGTATCTGTGGGCAGAGATGCGCTACTGGCGTGCGTCGTTGATAATCTGAAGGGATATAAGGTAAATGACTTGGACTAGTGTGCAAATAATTATTGAAAGTATTATATATAAGAGCAGCTTGATTAAAAAAGTAATATAGACCTAACATGCTATTATATTAGAGGACTTTTAATTCAATAGGTCGCCGTGTATAAATCGAGAAAACACGAAAATAATAATCATAATATAATTCCACAATTTTTTAAATAGAAGTAGTGGATTTAAAATCAATACAGAATCGAAGCTTCTAACCGAAATTTCAGTAAACCATGAAACAAAAATCATTACAAATTACGAGTAAGGAAGGTCTAGGTCCGGGTGTAAAAAGCCTTAAAATTCAATATTTCTTATTTGACGAAACTGTAAATAGCTTATACTCGTATCATATTAACTCGTATTTTAGGTTACAGACTCACTAGATTTCATTACTATCGTTTGCTTCGTGTTTGAGATATACATACTGTATATGTTAGGGTGCTCTGAAAAATTGGTTGATAGACACCTCTTAGAAAAGCTCTACCAAGTATAAGCTCTTGATTGGAACGGAAAGGTCCACCGACTAACGGTTTTCTGTTATTTTCCTATTATCGGACAGAAAAATGCATATCTTGCTTCCTGTTACTTGAAAACATATTTCGTTTCGTGATTTTTATAGGAACTTAAATGCTCTACAAAATGGTTTCTAACGGTTTTTTCGTAAACTTAACCGTTTAAAAGATGTTAACGGTTGATATATGGGAGCTAGGGGAAGTATTCACCTGATTTGACCTTATTTCGACATAAGAATACAATATGTATGAAATTTTCGGACGAAAATCAGCTATATGCACTGAGTATAATCGGTATTTGTGGACTAGAAAAGTTATGGTCCGATTTGACTGTTTTTGAGCGTGAGATGGTACACCTCAGGATAACTATTTTTACCAGGTTTTATTTAAATAACTTTATTGTCGCTTGGTTTTCATTCTGTAAAATTAATAAATCAAATGGAATGAATAACCTAGATATATAGAAAGTAGGCGTGATTGTTGTCCGATTTTACGCATTTTAACACGCTCATTATTCAATTTTCACACAGGTTTCTAACCGGATGTAAAATTTAATGCCTCTATCTACTACGACTACTTATTCTTCACCTGATCTCTATAAAGAAGTGGAGGTGTTCCTTTTACTCTGTTTTCACTGACGGTTACGGAATCATATAGCAGGACGGGAATGAGGAGAGACTTGTCGAGTTTGGTCTTTGTTCGTCGAGAGAGGACTTTACTTTTTAATTGCCTACTTAGTCCAAAGTAATACCTGTTGGCAAAAGTATTCTGTGTTCGATTTCAGGGCTGACATGGTTGTTGGCGTTAATGCGGGTTAATAGTCGCTTTCTTGCAAAACTTTTACTCTAAATATATATAATCAGGAGTACTCAGTACGAGAAATATTTGTTCATGTGTAAATATTGCATTATTTTCCTATATCATAACCCTGCGTTTACACTAATTCTAATTCCCCCACTTACAAAGTTTTTGAACAACAACAATCCAGTTGCAACAATTTGTAGTGCCTCATTGAATGCATAAATTAGCAACTGTCGATTAAATGTTTTCAGCATAAGCGTAAGTGGGGGAGATAGTTGCTAATAGAGTGTATATACTAACATACTTATTGCATACATACATACTATGTACAATATATATGGTATGCAACATATATAAATTAAGTCTCACTAAGTGCACCAATTTTGTATGCGTAACATATAGCGTGTGTGGGACGAATACGTGTGACAAACAGAATATTTAAACACATTTGCATTAGGGTGGGTTTCCAGTAAATATTGAGGTTGAAAATCAAAACAAAATGATCACAAAATATCATAAAAGGCACTCTTTGTTTTGTTGCTTATCAGTATAAATATTTTTTGATTCATGGCTTTTAGCATACTTAGTCGTCCAGTCGCCATAAAAAATTTTATTATACTACAACTAAGCATCCAAAATATTGGATTTTAGGTTAGGTATTCAGTCTGATCGCAGCTATGGAGATCGCATTTGGTCCCTTGTAGACTGATCCTTAGTGAGACCAAAATCGCTTAAAATGAAATCGAAATCCGCATATACTTGTATTTGCAACGTTTCTCAAACCTATCGCTAATTTGTATGAGTCGAACTATGGTATATAACTGTATTTGTTCGGTTTGCCAAGAGATGGCGCAACTTGATTATTATTCCATTGTTTCAATATTCCGAACATGTGTTGGAAAGCTACTGTCCTCTTTAGTATACATATGTCATTCATTTGAAGCATAAACAACAATATTTTTTTCACCTAACGAATACTCTGTATTTGGTGGGAACAGAATGGTTTATTATTCCGCATAATTCCTTCAATGGGGAATGCTACCGATAAACAACACATCAAATTTAAACCGATTGCAAAAAAAAGCCCTGAATTTGCGACTATACATGAGACAATAGTTTTCCACATAAGAACGCTCGCTTAATGTTGCAAGACCTGTTAAAAACTATTTGAAATACAGCGGCTGGGAAGTTTTGACTCACCCGCGTTATAGCTCAAACCTTGTTCCTTCTGACTTTCATTTTTTCCGCCTTTACTGGAATACGGTTTAAATCAAAACGGGGTATCAAAAATTAGCTCAATTCATGCCGGCAAATTTCCTTAGGGCTGGAAATCACAAATTGCCAGAAAAATGGGAAATGTAACAGCTTCAGACGGGTAATACTTGTATTATTGTGCATTTAAAACTAACGCGCATCCCGAACATAAAGGCGAAACCTTTACGATTTGACTGTTGTGTCCTTGGATTCGGGTAATTGCATTATTGCCGATTTTGCTTCGGGGTGGAATTACCAAGTTCTTTTTTATTCATTTGTACACAACAATTCATAACTTCGGATGTGTTACCGTTGTATTGCACCAATAACTGCTGACTATCGTTACTCCGTTACTGGTTTTGGAAGATTGTCAGTTCCACGGCAAATACCTGCCTTTTATTTTCTGATCAGTGGAATTGTTATTCGTCGCTGGAACTCCAGACTGGCTTCATTATTGCTGTGGGTGGTGGTGACAAGGTAAACAAAGTTCGTAACTGCTTCGAAAATAAAGTTCTCAGTTACTAGCTCGTTCTGCGTAACGTTTTCTCTGATAGCCAGCATGTATTTCATGTAGCCATCATTTAGAAGGATCCAGTTTGGTAAATTTAGTCTCAGTAGCCGCAAAAGCTTTGAAAACATGCTGGTAGTGGTCCAAGCTTGCTTGGTCCTGGTAGCGAGTATACAAAGTAAATTTACTGACTTGGCGATAACCAGCATAATCTTTGCCTCTATTTAAGCAAAGTTGTCACGTAACCGCTACTTTTTAGTTCCTGAGTAGCTATTTCGGCATCCGCCGGTTGGTGAGTTAGTCATATGTGCTGTCTAATCCGCTGGACATTTGATTTGAGTTGTGGTAGGGCTTAGCACCCATCATGTAAGAATGTAATGAAATACTACTAGGAAAGCAGAATGTAATATTATCAAAAATTACAAGTTTATCGAAATTTTTGGATTAAAACTAGTTTAGAAAGCTTTGATAATATTCGTCATCCATATATCAAGTGAGTTACCCTAGTATTAACACACACACACACACACACACTTACATTATTAATTGGCAATTAAGCATGGCAGCACTTAAACACAATTTTGTGGTAGATGAATGAGGATTTTGAAATGTGGCAAGGACATTTTGATTAATGTTTGTCAAAGTATGACAGCAACCCATTGATAATTTGTCAGTTTTCATTAGATTACAAGTTGCATGTGAAACATGCTTTGAGAGATGCTTGCTGATTGAGTTGTACACAGGAAAAGACATTTATTTTGGGTATTATGCACATATAACGCTTGGGTATAATGCAGTTATGCTCGCTCTTAGAAAGTGCATATAAATAGTTGAAGATAATATATAATAAATTTCACTTCTTGGCAACTCTTGCAGGTCGCTTGGGTGCGTGTGGACACACAGACAATACTCTCCATACATCACAACGTCATATCGCAGAATAATCGCATCAGTCTAAGTTACAATGATCATCGCTCTTGGTATTTGCATATTAAAGAGGTGGAAGAGAGCGATCGCGGTTGGTACATGTGTCAGGTAAACACGGATCCAATGCGCTCGCAAAAAGGATATCTACAAGTTGTGGGTGAGTTTATAAATATATATATTTTTTTGTTTAACTTTGATTGATTTTAAAAATATTCGCATATTAAAAAAAATAAACAGATTTCAGTTTATTTGTAGTAATTCTAAAAATTTTATTACTAAACTAATTGCTTTAATTTGCTACTTTTTAGTACCTCCCGTTATCATTGAAAGCATGACCAGCAATGACATGGTGGTTCGTGAAGGTCTAAACGTGACGCTAATGTGCAAAGCACGTGGTTATCCGGAGCCGTATGTGATGTGGCGGCGAGAAGATGGCGAGGAAATGCTCATTGGTGGTGAACACGGTAAGCTCAAGCAAAGTGAATTGAATCATAAAAATGTTTATACCAAAGTAAATATTCTTTCGTAATATTGCATGCTCGTAGCCTAAGCAGCTTAAGAAGCATTAGCTTACAATGATGAAGATTATAGCAAGCAGTTTAATCAAGAATCTCTCAGAAGCTTAAATACGAAATTATATACGGAATTATATATAAATTTTAGCTTAAAATACTGAAGTTCTGCATCGACTACTATGCATCTGAACTGACGCTTATATTTAATTAGTGAAATAGACGCCTTCTGCTTAAATATAAACGAGACTGGCTCAAACAACAAAAACGGTTAATTATTCTTCAATATTTATTTTATCCCCTTCAAAATAGTCACCATTAGAGGCGATACACATATGCCACCTTTTTTTCCAATCTTCCTAACACTTCTGGTAGGCCGCTTTAGGTATGGCTTTCAGTTCCTTCTTCGAATTCTCTTTTATGACTTCAATCGACTGAAAATGCTTTCCACGAAGCGGCAATTTGAAAAGTCACACGGTGCCATGTCGGGTGAATACGGTGCTTGCGGAACAATATTTACGTTGTTTTTGGTCAAATAATCGCGTACAAGACGAGACGTATGAGCTGGATTTTGGAACAAGTCGGCAGACACACGTCTCATGCCCAAAACATCGTGAATAATACTATGAGCGGATCCATTTGATATGTTGAGCTCACTAGCTATCTCTCTTTCAGTCACACGACGATTTTCCAACACAATTTTCTTTACTTTTTCGACGTTTTCTTCGTTTATTGACGTTGCAGGACGACGATCATGGGGCAAGTTTTCCAGCGATGTACGGCCGTCCTTGAACGACTTATACCAATCAAAAATACGTGCACGTGATAGGCAAGACTCCCCATATGCCTTCTGCAACATTTTCATTGCGTCCGTCGCACTTATTCCATTGGAATAACAAAATTTCAAACAAACACTTTTTGCTCAACGTTAATTTCCATAGTAAAATTCGAAAAACACACTCGAGGTTGACTTGTTTATAGTGCCTTAAAAAAAAACTATGTGACAGATCGCGCTCAAATTTGACATGTAAACATATAACAGTCCTGCCAACCTAAGCAAAAAAAATTATGGCCATATGTCATGTCCTTGTCGAGTTATGGATAAAGTCTCGTTTTGCGTTGAGCAGAAGGTATTAATAACTATGACAAAATCATACTTTCCAGCTACTAACTTTTGAATATAGAAGCAATTTCAAACAGTCAAACGAACGATAACATATTTCGAAGCCCATAATTAGTTTTAACATTTCACTTGATCAATCGTGTTTTGAGCGATTAACAAATTGTGTGGGATGGAACGTGAACAAATTGTTTTACAGTCAAATGCTCATACAATATTCAATGTATGCTGGTGCTACTAAGGCCTTTAGTAGTCTCAATCCCACGATAGCTCACATGACACTCTTGCAATATCAGTTTGTGCACAGCATCAATAGTTTGCGAAGCAACAACTGATTTTGCACAACCTTCACGAAATTCGTCTTGGAGTGATCTACAACCTCGATTTAACTCACCAAACTATCGATAAAAACTGGCTTTTGATGAAGCATCATCGCCAAAAATGAATTAAGTTCATTGATGCACTGTTGCTGAGTTAATCAACATCGAAAGTTGTAAAAACTAAGCGCGCTAAAATGTTTGCGATTTAATTAAATTTTTTGGCCGAGATGAATATTTAAAGTTACTGTCAAAAACACAAATAGCGCTCGTATGTGAAAACGTTATGTATGTATAACATCAAAAATCCCCGAAATATACAAGGCAACCAACATATAGCTAAAGTAGTTGTTGGATATTGGTAGATTCGAACAAATCCGATATAAGATGTAGGCATGATTATTACAAAATTTATTTGATTTTTTAATGTATGCTCTATTTCCATATTGACTATCTTGTAGTGATTATATACTCAAACTCAGATGTATCTTCTTTCGATCTCAGTTCGCTTATACTTCGTTTCTTTTTTTCTAATAACGGTAGTACATACGTAAAAAAGCAGAGAAAATATGTGTATAAAATCTTATATATCTTTTGTGAAGGTATAGACTTTTCTAAACGGATCAATGCTTAAAAATCGATGTTATATATTAAAAAATCGCGTTATGTGCGGCAGATTTACAGAGGATTTCGCGCATGTTGGGCCTGAAGAGTATGTAATAAGATGTGGCCATAAAAGTCTCCTTATATCTTAGAAAAAGTTACTGTCTGCTTGTAAAACTTTTGTTGAAATTGACCTACACAACGGTTAGTTTAGATTAGGTCGTAGGGTGGATAAAAAATCGATGGATCTCGGAAAGATATCCGTCCTTTGTGTTATCCATTAACTTTTGAAAGTGGATTACGAGACCTTAGCTACACTATTTTCAAATTTTTCGTGAGTTATTGGTTTACATTTATCGAAATAATCCGACTTATGTATATGTCGTGCGCCAGGCCTATGCTTCGTTATCGGAACCCATTACAAAAAAACTATTACTAATTTGCAGCCATGCCTGTAGAAACAAATTCGTAATTATGTATTGTATAATTTTAACCAAATATATGCATTAAAAAATATTTAAATTATGTATTAGGTTTTATAAATTTTTAAAATTTTTAACGACAACTACGCAATATTAGCTGATTCAGGCTCTCTTTATAGAGACCTAACGCTAGATTGATCTCATAGTGCCAAGTTAAAAGTGAAACCATCTTACCAGGAGTAAGTTTCAACCCAATTAATTCCAAATCGAACTATGTACTGCTGTAAAAGCATTATTCGTCTTAGTAAACTGTTCAGTGCTCTCGTAATAACGCAAAAGTGGATGTACACCAATTATGTAAGGCGATTCATGCAGAGTTGCCCATGCACTAGCCATGGCTACCATATTTCTTGCCTAGTATTGCGTATTACTAATGTCGGGGATTAGAAACCGCAGATAACAACCAAAAGTTTTTATTTTTATGAAGCACAGATTTTTAGATAACACTTTTTAAAAGGAGATAGAAATAAATTCAATATAAGTAAAATCGTTCATTGTATAATTATTAGTTTCCTTATCATTAAATATATCAACTCTTAATTAATATCTATCCTATATATGAAATGTTCTGAAATAATAATAATTCCCATAAGAATACAGCACTTTGGCACAGTTATTAAAAAAATTAAATATTAGTTCAATGATATTCATAAGTTAGTAGACGTTGCAAAATTTTAAAATATATTGCACAACAAACAAAGTTTAGACCAAATAATTTTTATTTGTAAAATATGTTTCAATGAGTATTTAAAATTATCTTCCTCAATTGGATTCGTTCATAAATAAAATATAAAGTCCACATATTACATATTTTTATACCCTGAACAGGGAACATTAAGTTTGTCATGAAGTTTATAACACTAAGAAAGAAACGTATGAAACCCTATAAAATATGCATATACATTAGTGTGGAGCGAAAAAACTTTTTTTTTTGTCTAGCCTGGGGGTAAAATCCATAGATTATAAAAAAAAAATTTTTTTAACATCTAGTTGCGGCGCACTCAGTTTTAAAGTAAATTTCGAGTAACAATTTTTATTTCGTAAACATTTTTTGATAAGTGTTCTAGAAGATGTGGAAAGTCCTCCTTCTGGCCAATTAAAATTTTTTGTGATCATTTTTGGTGTTTTAAAAAAAGTCTTAAATGACCACATGCTTTCCTTAAGCGTTAAAATAAATTTTTAGTCAAAAACCGTCACATTCGGTAATTTTTATATAAATGTAAAGAGTGTAAACCAAAAATAATTTTTTTTTGTCCAAAAAAAATGTTTAGTCGAAATTTACTTTAAAACTGAGTGCGCCTACTCTAGATGTTACAATAAAGAAAATTTGTGGACAAAAAAAATTATAATATAAAGATTTTACCCCCGGCTAAGCAAAAAAATAAAAAAAAACTTCCGCTCCACCCTAATATACATATATATATATATATATATATATACCCTATAAAATATACATATACATACATATATATACTTATATTTTTGAGATATCGATATTAAACTTTGCTCACGTTCTTTTGTCTCGAAGAAGCTACTCATTTACGGGACCGCCGATATTGGACCACTATATGTAGCATATAGCTGCCATACACACTGAACTAAAGGAATCAAGTGCTTTTACCAAAAGCTTTTGACGAGATATCTTCTATAAATTTCGCACGGATTATTGTCCAAGGCAAATATGTAATATCCGATAAAAGTTTTTAGATCGAATCATTATACCCTATAACATAACTGACGTACATAATGGCCGAGCAAAATCAGGTTTTTTAGAGAATTTCTTCTATTTGTGGTGTGTTATAGTAGCTGGGTTGAACCAAAGTTAACGTTTTTAGGGATAGTTGTAATATAAAATGTTCCAAGAATTGGAATTGTCTACTCATTAAATCTCTTATAATAAAAATTTTGCTTTATTTTTACCTATTGGCTACTACACACGGCGCTGGTCGCCATACATAATATAGTTACTATCATTTAGAAACTATTCAATGCTATTTATTTCAAGGTCATAGTAATCTCAAAAATTTCTATAAAAGCTGTTGCTATCACAGTGTTTTCTGCTTCTTAGAGACTCTATTTTTTTATATCTCAGCGGATATTTTATTTGGTTGCGCTCCGTTTTAACGAATAAATCTTTGATTAAATTGATCAAGTTCAAAATGAGTTGAGTGGCAAGGGTATTTCAATAGTTAAAAACTAAAATTCAGGTGACTTATTGTCTAAATATATTTAATAAAGTGCACCTAAAATTCAGTGTTGCATTCACTTTGATACCTAAGTTCGCTTAGAGATTACGTTCGAACGTGCAACAACCCTATGTTATATATTAAAAAAATTTAATATAATACTTAATATAATCCACCAGATTTAATGTACATATTTGCTTTTTTAAAAAACCTTTTTCAGTTAACGTGGTTGATGGCGAGTTGCTGCATATAACCAAAGTGAGTCGCCTGCACATGGCCGCCTACCTCTGCGTTGCATCAAACGGAGTGCCGCCATCCATCAGCAAGCGGGTGCACCTGCGCGTGCAATGTAAGTAAAAATACATTTTGATTTATACAGAAGTTTGCGTATTAAAAAAAAAATAATAATAAAAAACAAATCAGTTTTGTTGGAGATTTAAATGTTTTTACAAAATTTTAATGGAACAACAACATCGCTTAACTCATTAAATATGCAGAAAAACGGCACACCACGAACAAAGGTGTTATTTGCGTTTTTCAAACTCAACTCCCGCTGCTGGCGTTAGCGCTGCTCGAGAACTTTTTCAGCGAGCCACTCGCATTTTGAGTGGTCAAAACCAGCAAAATATTTTAATTAAATTTGGCTGCCAAAAATTAGAATTGTCAAAATTGCCGCTACCAACAAACAGTGCTGCATGCAAAATACGACAGCACACCAACAACACATACGTGCATACATACATACATACGTGAATAATTTGCTAACAAACGTGCTGTCTGCTGCACACCCACCCCTCACACACACTCATTCACCACCCACCAAATATGGCAACTCCCAACCAATTTTGGCCAACAAAGTTTGCAGCTACTAACAGGTACGTTTGGTTGTTGTTCTTGTTCTGCCCATTTTAGCTACTATCAATTTTACCACAATTTGTGCAACATGCTTGGCAGCCGCCACAATTGCACGTTGTTCATGCCACAGTAGTAGCTGCCGCGTTGGCAATGAGTTGCAAAGTGCAAAAGTATTGTGCAAAATATAAGCAATGGCTGTTGTTGTTGCACATTCGCACGTATCTGGCTGTGGCTGATATTAAAATGGTTATAATTACGGCTTTTATTGTATTGGTTTTTCGGTGATTAGCATGCAACTACACGCCGACTCCTCGTTTACGTGCGAAATTGCGAATACTTTTGCCAGCGCCCGCTGTGCCTTGTTGGCCAAACATCAATTGTTTAATTAAAACTTTTTGTTGCCACTGAAATTTTCACCAACAATTGGTTTGGCTTTAGTTGTTTGAGCAAAATAATAAATGCTGATTGTGGCAGATTTGACGCGGTAATAATTACGCGCGCGCCGAAAAGTGATCGGGTTGGTGTGCTTTTTCAATAAACTGAAATTAAAACAATTAAATATAAATTAGTAAATTTTAATGCGTGATTTTCAGATGACAGACAACATGATAACGAGTAGTTCGAGTAATATCTATTAGCTTTTTAGAAAATAACTCAAACTAGAGGGTGTTTCAAGAGATTTTATTAAGATGACATATACATACGTATGAATATTCTTGTCAATCAAGTGTGAAATTATTTCAGAAACACCAATCTGCTTCAGTTACTACAAAACTAAACATCATTTCCGCAACTGCGCCGGTCTTGCTCGACGAGCAAAGCGGTCATATTTGTACGAAACTACTATAACCTCAAAAGAATAAGAAATAACTGATACCATTTGAGACACCTTTATCACTACATATTAAATAAGTATAAATATTTTTCTATAATTCGCTTATGCAATTTGAATGGACTTTAAGATTTTCATAACATCAAACTGCGGTGACAATCTGACAACTGATTGCGCCCGATGAAGCTGAAATCTCAAATATATTTTACGGTGTGTTTCAAAATTTGAAGGTATTAAAGACATCAAGAGTAGGTTTATCGCTTCTTCGAAGACAACTCAAAAAATTAAAGGAAATTGCAATCTGTCGGATATTATATAAACCCATGAGACGAATCGGAGTTAAAAACAGTGCCGACCATCTGGTAATGATCTGAGGGCGAAATATGGGATTATAATATTGATATGTTCAATATTCACCATTATATGTAACGCTATATTTTATAACCATTTTTAACAAACAGGAAAGGTAAAACAATTCCAAATTCTTTAAAAGGAAAGCAAAATCGATGCCAATATTACTATAAGTAAAGGGTGCTGTTCTAGACGTTTGGTTTACAAAAGGGGAAAAAAGGCATATAATTTAATGCTATGTGCAAGAATTTAGCTTTATTATAGCGATACAGCGTTTGCTACTATGTTTTAAAAATGATTTGCGGTAAGACTCGAATAAGTTTCAGCCGAGAGGCCCGATTCTCGACCACTTTTTGCAGCAATTGGGTATGTCAGCAATAAAGCGCCTATCTTTCAAGGCGCCAATCGTGTCGGCCTTACCTACGTAGTCAAGCGACTTCTCATAAAAGTTCACTAAAAGTTTCCTTAAATATATTGGTCGTCCAAATCAACATCGTCCAATTCAAGTATGCAAAAGTAATTAATTATGACTCTACCGCGTTCCCCATTGACTATAACATTATGGCCGGCTTCATTCTTAAGAAATTAGTGACTTTTAAAGGATGTAACAGCGTCTCAACAATGGCTTGTGGATTATCATCCCTCCAAATGCGACAATATCAAACGAAAGTGAGATTCATCGCTGAACAAAATTTTCTTGTAAAAATCGGATTCGATTTCCATCTCACGCAAACCAAATCATTATGTTGGTGATAAATACGCCCGATTTGTCACACGACCAAAACACACAACCGTTAAAAAATTTAAAATATTTTTAAGGAGAGCTAAGTCGACCTGAACGTTACTATATGACCGATGATTTGACCCGGATTGATACTACGCTTTCAAAATAGGCTCCTGCTTCATTCAATTTTCCATATACTTGTTATCAGTGCCTGGAACAATTTTTTTTAAGGTTTCGGCTCATTTTTGTAGCGCCATTCGCTAGATTGTGGGACAGTTTTGATGTAATATTCATAAATCCACGTTTCGTCATCAGTAATGGTACATTTGATGAAAGTAGTACTCGATGTCGTTTTTGCCAAATATTCATGTCTTTCGGTTAGGTATTTGTTGCAGGTGTTTGGGGTCTAGAATTGACACGTTTCATACCCAAACCATTAATCAAAATGCGTGGAGTCGATGCACAAAAGATGTTGAGATCCTTTGTTATCACTCTGATGTCAACACGACCATTGGCAAGCACTTTTTCTTATCCATGTCCATGTTATTGTCATTAACATAGGTGCATGGACAACTCGCATGAGGCAAGTTAACGATGACTTCACGACCGTGTTCGAATGCTTCGTGTCATTAAATTACTTTTGTTCGTGATAAAGTAGACTCTTCAAAACACCTCTACAATATTCCCAATAATTTGTTGCCTGGATTCCAATGGCAACACAAAATTTCAAGTAATCTAACAGCTGCCAAACAAATACTTATTGATATATGGAAATCAAATTTTACAGGAACATAGCAAAAGATTGTACCAAAAAGTCAAATAAATTTATGTTGGACCACTTCGGGTCCGCCCGTCCATCGAATTTATGGTATGTGTATATATAAGCGGTACCTTACGAGTTTGGATAAAAAACATATCAAATAGTTCTGGGTTTTAAGTTTTCAAGATTATATAGTTTCGGCGAGTTAACTGATCTAGAAGTATGGATTGAAACTAAAAATTAATTTAACTATATTATAATAATAAACCCAACGATTACCCTCCTCCCGCCCAACCGACGCGAGGGGCGGAATCCGCATACGTGCGGAATTAGCCGAGTCAGAAAAGGCAAAAGAGTTTTTTAAGTGTTGAGATCTAAAACTGCTCAGCTACAGAAACAAAAATTTCAACAGCTAAGATCTAAAGTTACAATATAATAAATTGTCACATTTTCATTTATTAAGAGAAAACAATAAAGTCTTTTTAATTTTGAAAAGTGAGTCAGATAAGTCAAATGTGCTGGAATGAGAATTAAAATCATGACATATACGGCGGAATGGCTCAACATCTGTACTTTTTTAAACCAAATATCCGACTTCGTACTGCTTAAATTGCTTCATAAAATCCTTAAGCTGCGATTATAAAGTGAAGTTTAAACTTCGACTGCGAGAGTAGTAACGACCAGTATCAAAGTTGGCCTTATTTAACATAAAAACCAACGACGCAAAATTAGCTCAGCAGAAAATTTCCAAACTACTTAGTAACCGAAATACACTGAACACACGCGATGCGAAGCGTTCTCGTGCTACAGTGGCATCTGCTTAAATGCAATGTAACGCCTCTTGTTGTCATGTACTTACACATACACTTACGCTTACAAAATTCACACAAACAAGCGATCAGACGATTCAGTGCTGGTGTTGCAAGTTCAATTCATTCACCGCGGCCGTCACCGCAACATCGAAACCAGCCCTGCGCGGTAAGAGTTAGCAGCTGCCCCCGGATCGACTATGCCATATTAGTGACAACAACTTTGTTCCACCTCCACTATAACACCAGCTCTTCAGTACTCACATGATGCAACATACTCAGCTCACCACGACATGACACTTTTGGCCGGCGGAAAGTCAACTGCGGCGCAAACGCGACACGAAAAAGCGAAATAAATTTTGGCATATCTGAGCCGTACGTGATTTCGTCTGTGTAGCTGGGATTCCGTAGGTGTTTGTGCGTGCAAATGGTCGAATGTGAAAGCATGCTTCACGAAACCCAGCAGAAATGCATTCGTTTATTAATTTCAATTAAAGGTAATAGGGCTGCATATGTCAGCTTCTTTTTAAATCGTTCTTTTAGTTTGAGTTTAACTCTTCCCTTGTGCTCGAAGTAATACGAACTTTCTTATTACGAACGCAATAAATCATCTCGATAAATATGTTTTACAATAAAAAGATCTACTCGGTGTTAGACGAAATATACGCCCGCCGAAAAACTGTGAACATATACATCTTAAAATTTAAAGAGTTTTTGAACAAAAAAATGTACATAGCTCGCTAGGGCGTCTTTCTCAGCCCGATAAGTTGTGCGCTGGTTACGCCGTTGTCGGAAGCTAAGAGTAAAATCGATCATTGATGACTTTATATGTGTTGAGCTACAAACATTTGACAAAATTCTATCTCAAAGTGTCTAAAATACACGGTTCCATTTGTCTGACCTAAAAAGTAGTTCAGCGACAGCATTACTTTATCGACGATAAGTAACTAAAATGATTGAAATAGAAGTGTAATTCCTGTAAGCTGATTTGTAACGTTGTTAATCAAATGACTTTGTTTACAATTACTATGAAACTTTTGACAGCTTGTCGCAGAGTCGCACATATACATATTTATATAAGTTTCTTGAAACTTTGTCAGCTTTAGTTTTGGGTAGTGCGTATTACAAAACTAATATTTAACAAGTAAGGAAGGGATGAAGGATGAAGGGATATTTAACAAGTTCGGATGTAACCGAACATTTTATACTCTCGCAAAGTCTAATGGTATACTCGTTTGAGATTTATTTGTGGATTGACTGATATTTTCGGTGGAATTTCAACTATAGGCAATGGGGTCCATATATTTAGTACTTAGGGGTTTGAACAGTTTTGGTTCGATTTAGACAATTTTTGGCCGTAAGGTGGCATACTTTAATTGCATTAATTACGCAAGTTTTACCCCGATATAATCATTGTTACCTGATTTGCATAGTGGAAAGTGAAAGAATCAGATGGAATTGAAAATGGTGTTACATGGGAAATAGGCGTGTTTGTGATCCAATTTCGCACTATAACATAGAAACATAAAAAGAACGTTATGCGCCGAATTTGGTTGAAATCGGTTGAGCAAATCTCAAGATATGGGTTTTCACCTAAAAGTGGGCTGTGCCACGCCCACTGTATAATTTTGAACGCGGTTCCTATAAAGTCATCTCATACCATACCAGAGATAAAATTTAATGTCTCTGGCGTGTTTAGTGCTGGATTTATCGCGCTTTTAGTAGTTTTTAACAGTACCGTTATATGGAGAGTGGGCGGAGTTGCCACCTGATTTGAACTATTTTTACACCGTCAACAGAAGTGCTAAAAACATTTGCTTCTAGTGAATTTTGTTATTATAGCATTAGCGGTTTAGGAGATATGCACATTAAACCTATTAGAGGCGGGACCACGCCTACTTTTTAAAAAAAGTTTTAACTGCAGATGCCCCTTCCTAATTTGATCCTGTGTACCAAATAGCAGTCTTGTATCTTATTGCGGAGCTTAGTTATGGCAAGTTATTTGTTTTTGATTAATGGCGTATTGTGGGCGTGGCAGTGATCCGATTACGCCCATCTGCAATACCAACCGTCTCACGGTACCAAGAAACATGTCTACCAAGTTTCATAAAGATATCTCAATATCCGTCTCAGACGGACGGACGGACGGACGGACGGACGCGAGAGTATAAAAAGAAAGAATATTTTGGCTAGTTCTTCTGGATTTTATGAGAACGGTCTGTATACGTTAAGCATCAAAGGCAGTTTGTCAAGTTCTGAGTTAAGATAAAACCGGATAGACTATAAAAGCCTCTGCTGGTTCCACTGTTCCAAAGCAGCTAGACTGTCGCTTAGTATTGTTAACCTTATATATGTGCTATATATGTATATATATTATATATGACAAAATCTTTTGCTATATATTTTACGCCAGGAGTTATTGTGGCAAGCATTTTTGAATATTAAGTTGATTTTCCCATATTTACGCTCAGTATATCGGTCATTTTAAGTTGTATTTGAAGGCGTAATGCAAAGTGTATTTATCTGCAATCAAATTTTTATTTATATACATAACTTCACAACTTAACGCATATACATGGTCACTAGAAACATTTGCTTATATTTATTTTGTAGTTCCGCCAATGCTTTCCATCCCCAACCAGTTAGAGGGCGCATATGTGGGACAAGATGTGATATTGGAATGTCATACAGAGGCGTATCCTGCGTCCATAAACTACTGGACAACCGAGCGGGGTGATATGATTATATCGGGTAAGTCTTCCTTTTTAATCATGTGTCACATGAAAATATTTATAGTTGGATAATCGAATGGCAACTAATTTGGTAACATTTTAAGCATCTCAGTAAAATTCGATGTTAAGCTCTTGTAACTCGTACAAATAATGTGCATTATATTTGGTTCAATTCTTTTGTACGTATAATAGTTTAGTTTTGCAGACCATAAATAGATACCATAAAAAAAACCATAAGTTGGAGTTGGTCTGAGAAAACCTGTCTCGTGGTTATAATATATCATGGTAAAAATATATCCCGCTATAATTTCTCATTCCAAAAAGTTACCTGGGGAGAGTGAAACCCCTGGTGGGGTTTGAAGGGTGAAGACCACCAAACGAAAGACAATGTAGTGTTTATGAGAGGTATTGCTGAAGTGTCGTGATTATAGCTCTATGCTTTAATCTTTCTTGGTTCGGTTTTATACAACGTCTAAGTCCCTGAACGGCAAATATTTGTTTCATTATAGATAATGTTACATTCTATTATTTGTGTAATATGTTAAGAAATGAATTTTAGGATCAGTTATACAAAATCGAACCTGCAAAAGTGCCAAAGTACTTGGTAATCGTTCGAACATGTGCCGTACAGTGTCTCGTATAGGGGCTGATAATGAGATAATCCCTGCTAATCCCGTATCAATTAATGAATTAATAATTCCCGATGATTATCGTAAGGATTGGAGCGGAGTTGAATTATTGGCATGTGATTCACTTGAGCTACCTAGTAATCGCCGTGGAAGATATATTATTTTTACAACTGAACATACTTTGAATTATCTGCAAGCATCAGACAGTTGGTTTGCCGACGGAACAGTTCATGTCGTTCCTTCGATTTTCTACCAACTGTATAGCATACATGGAATTGTAAATGAAGAAGTTATGCCTCTCGTATTAACATTGTTGCCTGGAAAATTGAAGCAATTATGCCGTAGTATGCTGTCGCAATTGAAGGCTATTAAACCTGGATTGAAGTCTAAAATTATTATATATTATATTATGGCTTCCATAAAGGCTGTCCAGAATATTTTTGTTCGTGTACAAATGAGTGGGTGTTTTTTTCATTTTGGGCAGAGAGGAGAATACAGGGATGTGGATTACAAGTTTGATATTCCGGAGATGGTGACTTTGGATAGCAGTTGAGAATGTTATATACGCTTGCATTTGTTAACGAGGCTGATGTTGTTGCCATGTATGATGAGTTAATGAAAACTACGCTCTTCAATGATAATCCTGAGGAACTGCTCGATTATTTCGAGACTACATGGATTGGTAGTGTCAATGGTCGTGGTCGGACTGGACCAACATTTGGTCTCGGGCTGTGGAGTCATTATCAAATGACCAATAAATAATCCAATCGAGGGCTGGCATGGAAGTTTGAATGTTCGGGCGCATGCTGCTCATATGAATGTGTGCGTGAAGAGCAAGCCCTTGTTGATGTGCGATTGAAACACTATGTTCGTGATGATCCACCGTAAACACCTATAGCTGCTTCCATGCTTCACAATCTACGTATATATAATATTGGTAATGATTATTACGTTCGTCCGCCGATGGATTATTAGGGCGGTCTTGCGCATAATTTAGAATTTTTATATTGTCTTGGAATTGTTAATTTATATAATTATTTGTGGTATAATTATTTGTAATTATAAACAAAATAAAAAAAATTTTAGGAATAAAAAAATAATTCTTTTTTTTATCATCTAGAGGCGGCCCTCTCACTTTTAAAGTAAATTTCGAGTTAAAATTTGTATATCGTAAACATTTTTTGATAAGTGTTCTAGAAGCTGTAGTTTTGTTCAAAAAAAATTTTAACTCAAAATTTACTTTAAAAGTGAGTGAGCCGCTTCTAGATGTTACAAAAATAATAATATTTCTTTCCAAAATTTTTTTTTTTACAATCTACAAATTTTACCCTCAGGCTAAGCAAAAGAAAAAAACACAATTTTTCGCGCCACCCTAATGTATATATATATATATATATATATATATAAATGATCAGCATGGCGAGCTGAGTCGATTTAGCCATGTCCGTCTGTATATACGGAACTCGTCCCTCAGTTTTTAAATTATCGATCAGAAAGTTTGCACCTGTTCTTTTCTCCAAGAAGCTAATCGTTTGTAGGAACCGCCGATATCAAACCACTATAGCATATAGCTGCCATACAAAATGAAATAAAATAAAATATCTGCTTGCATTTAGTGGGAATTCGAGCCTTTTATTCGAAAATATGTGTAACGTAATGAAAAGTTTTTGAAACCTCTTATTAAAAAAACCCAAAATTTTTCATAAAAACCAAAGAGTAGCTACCTACTTAACATACAAGGAATGGCAGAATTCGTTTCGTATATCATTTTACGTGCGATTGTCGTGTGTATGTAGTGCCTTTATATTTATATTACGCGACAATTGGCAAGATCATAAATCTATCAAGTGCTTATTTATAGTCCCTCTTAAAGTGATGTCCTCAATAAATGCAATTGATACTACATAGGATGATCCGAAAATAACTCAGTTTCGCCAAGAGAAAGGAGTTGTCAGTGGATTTTAAATAAATGGAAAAGGAGCAATATCGGTCGGTTATAATCAAAGAATGCTAGATTATCGCAATTGGTTTAACGAGACGCAAAGTGCAGAAATATGAGTTGAATGAGGAGGTTATTGCCAGAAAAGGGGGCTCCTTTTAAGACCTCGCGACAAGGTATTTTTCAGATGAGTTAAAGAAGTTGGAAAATCGCTAAGTCAAGTTAAAAGGCAACTATGTTGTGAAATAATAGTATTTTTTACAAAATTTTCATTTTAGTTTTGAAGGTTAAATAACTATTTAACCGCCCTCATACTATTGTTAATCACGGCCATCATTATGTTTTAGATGTGAAGTAGCTCGTCGTTTAAGTATATTAATAAACATCTTATCCTCGGCACTTTAATGATAATTTCTAATTTTTTAAAATTAAAAGCAAATTTAATTCATTAATTTATAGTACAGCTTGAAATGCTTGCGACATTTGAGATTGGATTTGGAAGGCTTCTTATCAAGTTGGTCACTTATAGTGCCGTAAAAAGTAAAACATGATAGTTATTAACCGCAAAAAAGGTTATTAAAACCCAAAAATAACTAATCATGTCTCGTAATGGAAGCAATGGCTACAAATATAAGAGTTGCAACTTGACTAAGAGTATGCTGAACTGAAACTTTAACACCTACATTAGGGTGCTCGTTATTGTCCAAGTTGATTTCATTTTGTGGACGCCCCCTTAAGTTTCAGTTTTTGTTTTCAAACAAAGAATCCAAAGTAAGCAGAATGTACATAACATAAAGTTATGCATCAAATGTACGCCATGGCGTATGAGCAACACAGAATTTATAATTCACTTGCAAGAAGGTTGAGATCATTTGATGTATAACTTTAACTGCATATAACTTTTAAAGAAATATTTTTTGTGGAAAATCTTAAGACACAATATATTGTAGATTATAAAAATTTGCATTAAAGCGACATTTTTTCAAAGTATTAAGATTACTTGCTTAATGCAAAATATCCAAAAAAAAGATTCATATATGTCAAAAGAAACAGAATTTAGAGACAGTTTAAACTAAAAATTATAGCCGAAGTATTAATATCCAAAGTTTAAGCTATTATATCTTTCACAAGTGCATATTGTAGACATAAAAAAGTATAAAATGCTATTTATTCTGTTTTTGATCGGCCAATTTGGATGGCAGCTGTAAGCTATATCGAGTGGTCTGCTCTGAACAATATATTCGAAATTTCATAAAGATATATCGACAAATAAAAGAGTTTTCAATAAGAGCTTGTGTTTGATTGGTCAGTTGTATGGCAGCTATATGCTATAGTACTCCGATCGCAACAATTTCTTCGGAGATTATAGCGATGCTTCAGCTAATAATCTATGCTAAATTTTATTGAAGATACTTCGTAAAATGACCAAGTTTTCCATACAAGCAATTGATTCCGATTGTTCAGTTTGTATGCCAGCTATATGCTATAGTGGTACGATATGAGTGGTTCCGACAAATGAGCAGCTTCTTGGTAAGAAAGGGACGTGTGCAAAAGTTTAGATCGATATCTACAAAAACTGCGAGACTAGTTCGCATATATACAGATGGACGAACGGACAGACAGACGAATATGGCTAAATCGGCCCGGCTCGTCACGCTGATCTTTTAGGGTCTTCAACGTTTATTGTTGGTTGTTAGAAATATCGTGGCAAACTTAATTTACGCTGTTCAGGATATATTCAAGAGCTTATTTCGTTAGATACTTTTTAGGGCAAAAACAAAAACTTCAACTTGCGAAATAACGGACACCCTAAAACTCATAGGTGCATGCGCTTGCATTACAAGTAAATAAATTAGAGCGTACGCACGAATAAAAACAAGCGCTTGCATAAATAAACGACAGATGAACCTGCACGCATAAGTATGCAGATAAAATTAACATTATACCTATATATATTTATTTATTATATATGTCAGTCATGTGCCTTTGTGTAAACGACAACTCAACACTCTCGCTTTAAACCTTTATATAATATAATAAATGTGGTGCGCGTACTGGCATCTACGTAATTTTATAATATATATTGTAGATATATGTGTCTACCATATATGTATGCAAATATGTGCTCATAGATGTTATTTAACGGCGATCCAGGTGCACATTTGCGAAATTAAATTGCTTATGTATGAATTTTAATGCAATTTCATGGTTACATTAAAGACCACTTGTCGCTTAAAGCGTTAACATGCGGAAATATTACTCAACAGTTGTTGCTGTTGTTTTTGCACCGTTACAGTAATTTTTGTAATTTTTGTTTTTTGTAGTTGATGCCTACTTCCATGTACCATGCTTATTGCGCTTATTTATTTATGTATGTCCATGTTGTTGTTGTTATTTTTGTTGTTGCATGCCTTTGTTGCTCGTTGCCTGTGACAAATGCTGTTGTTGGTG